TTCATAAGTCGGAATAGGTAACGAGTTGGCCCATGTAAACTGTCTACCGGTGAGCTCTATTTCTCTCAAATTGAGACTCTCGATAATCATGTTAAACATCATAGACCAACGCCCATCAAAATTTTCATTATTCTTTTCTTCTCTCCTCCTGATGATATTAAAATCCCCCCCCCACTAGTATTGGGAGATTTTCATCACCACAAATCCGCACCAGATCGGCCAGAAAGTCAGGATTAAATTCAGGTTGTGCTGCCCCATATACAGACAAGAAAAAGAGCGTCTTACTCAATTGATTGAGGCATTAGATTTAAAGGCTGAAGTCACCCTCCTTTCTGTTAATGAGCATCGCACCAAGTCCGAGGCTGAGCAAGGGCTTCGAGCTCTCTTGAGGCTCTCTTGAGAGAGGAGGAGCTCAAGTGGGTGTTGCGTGCGAAAATGCTTAAGGTCGTCCAAGGGGATGAAATACATAATTCTTCCATATGGTTGCAAATGGCAAACATAGGAAGAAGAAGATCATTCAGCTTGAACAGGACGAGGAGACAATAGTGGGACATGAAAATCTGAAAGCTTATATCTCTATTTATTATAAAAAACTATTTGGACCCCCGAATACAACTACTGTGTCTGTTGATGAATCTGTGATTGATGATATACCTCAATTACAGGTAACAGAGAATGATGTTCTCTCTGCACCGTTTACTGAAAAAGAGGTTCATCAGGCCATATCCCAAATGAAGCCGAATAAAGCACCGGGACCAGATGGGTTTCCAGCTGAATTCTATAAGAAATGTTCGCATATTGTTAAAGACGATCTTATGCCTATGTTTCACGATTTTTTCGGCGACCATTTGGAGTTGTTTCATGTCAACTTTGGTACGATAATGTTGCTACCTAAGAAAGACGAGGCTGTTCGGATCGAACAATTCCGGCCCATTTGTCTGCTGAATGTGAGCTTCAAAATATTCACAAAGGTTGAAACCAATAGATTGACACAAATTGCTCACTCAGTGGTCCAACCAAGCCAGACAACGTTTATGCCGGGACGACACATACTGGAAGGGGTGGTCGTTCTACATGAAACGCTTCATGAGATTCACTCGAAGAAACTCGATGAGGTTATGTTCAAAGTGGATTTTGAGAAGGCTTATGATAAAGTAAAATGGCCTTTTCTTCAGCAGGCAATGCGCATGAAGGGTTTTAGTGAAACTTGGAGGAACCAAGTGGATACCCAAGTCTAGAAAGGTAGTGTTGGAATCAAGGTGAACGATGACATCAGTCACTATTTCCAGACTCATAAGGGGCTGCGACAAGGAGATTCTATGTCACCTCTTCTGTTCAATATTACGGCAGATATGCTGGCCATCATTATTGGCAGGGCCAAGCAGCATGGCCATGTAGAGGGTCTAGTTCCCCATCTAGTCGATGGAGGGGTATCCATCCTACAATATGCTGATGACACTATCTTATTCAATGAACATGACATGGCTAAGGCACGTAATATGAAACTTATGTTGTGTCTATTTGAACAATTGTCTGACTTAAAAATTAATTTTCATAAGAGTGAGGTGTTCTGTTTTGGGAGGGCCAAAGACGAGGAACATACTTACAGACAATTGTTCGTATGTGAATTAGGTGCCTTACCATTGAATTACATGGGTATACCGATCCATCACCGTAAGCTTTCCAATAAAGAATGGAAAAGTATTGAAGGACGAACTGAAAAAAAACTTAGCTGCTGGAAGGGCAAGCTTATGTCATATGGAGGTCGGCTAGTTTTGATCAACTCAGTACTGACTAGTATGCCGATGTTTCTACTTTCGTTCTTCGAAATTCCGAAAGGGGTCCAAAAGTGACTTGATTTCTTTAGATGTCGTTTCTTTTGGCAGTCTGATGAGTCCAAGAGGAAATACCACCTCGCGCGATGGGATATCCTTTGCCGACCTAAAGACAGGGGGGCTCGGTATTGAGAACTTAGAAATTAAGAATAAATGTCTCATGAGAAAATGGTTGTACAGATTAGAGACAAAGCCGGAGGGCATGTGGTCCCAAATCCTGCGCAATAAGTACTTGCACTCGAAAACACTAGCCCAGGTTACCATGAGACCGACTGACTCACCGTTCTGGAAGGGACTTATGAGAACGAAGGATTTCTTCTTTCGTAGGGTCAAATTCTTGGTTGGTAACGGGATGTCAACAAGATTCTGGGAAGATACGTGGTTAGGAGAGACGTCCTTGGCCGTACAATATCATACCCTCTATAATATTGTGCAACGTAAGAAGGATTACGTAGGCACCGTCCTTCAAACTATCCCCTTAAACATCCAGTTCAGACGTGTGTTAGTTGGTGAGAGATGGACCGCCTGGATGCACTTGGTTCGGAGATTGATAGAAGTTCAACTCTCCGACCTGCCGGATTCAACACACTGGAAGTTAACTAAGAATGAGATGTTTACGGTGAAATCATTCTATATGGATCTGGTTAATTCTGGCACCCCCTCATGGTCACTACACATTTGGAAGGTTAAGGTTCCTTTGCGTATCAAAATCTTCATGTGATTTGTTCACAAGCAAGTGATACTCACAAACGACAACTTAATTAAGAGGCGATGGGTAGGCAATTCACTGTGTTGTTTTTGTGATCAAGATGAAACAATACAACATTTATTTTTTGAATGCCCACTAGCCAAGTTACTTTGGAGAACGATTCATATAGCTTTTAATATCAATCCTCCAGTAGATATTGCGTCTTTGATTGGGATGTGGTTAGCTGGGGTTGAACAGATTACTGCGGCTCGTATTCAGATTGGAATATGTGCGCTATTATGGGCTATATGAAACTGCAGGAATGATATGATTTTGAACGGACAACACACTTTAACTTTTTTGCAGGTTATCTTCAGAGCTACAACTTGGATCCGTACGTGGTCCTTACTCACTCCTATGGACTCCAGGGAGCCTTTGGTTACTGGGTGCAACCAATGGGAGATGGTAGCTCGGGTTATATTCAACCGGTTCGAATGACGCTCCCATAACATGATAGGAGTCTAGGGAGCTTATCCTTCTTATCACCGTATCGGTTGTCTTTGTCTGCATGTATTTTTCCTTATTTTACTTTGTTTTGCTCCGTTTGCGAGCTGTAAGACCTTTATGACGATACTCTTTGGATTGTTAATAAGAGGGCCGCATGCATCATCATGATCCAGAGGCCGGGAGCATGCCTCTATTTCCAAAAAAAAACCTCTTTTAAAAAAAATATTCCCAAGGAACCCAGTCGATCGACAGTGATGGATTCCTTCTGCTCTGGGCCTTGCAAAAATGATTGGATGGAGCGGTTTTTGGAGCATCAAATATGCGCTCTTTCAGTGATTTGCAGGGACTTGATGGGGCAGTATCTAAGATCGGCTATGGTGTGCCCAAAACTTGTTGACCCAGTGGTCCTCGGTGGTCCTTGAGGCTATGTCATGTCGTGAGGCTTTCGCCTACCTTCTGATCTATAGCTTACCCAGATGAGAATTGTGCCTGACTGCAAGGAGGTAATCACTGACATTATTTCCGGGATAGGAGGTTTGCACGCCACATCATTCTGTAGATTGAAATTACTGTTTGTCTTTTCAAGCTTACTCCTTCATCTTAAAGATCATCCCCAACATGCGCCCTAGATATCGCACACGCGGGAAAAAGGCGAGTTTTAGAGCGCGCGGGGCGGTTTGGCGCGCTCAAGCGGGCGCGGGAAAAGATCTACGCGCGCGAAAAAGCAGCCCGGCGCGCTCTATAAAAACCCGAGCGCGCGTGCCGCCAACCACCGCTCCAATGCCTCCTTCTTCCCGGCCTCCCCCTTCTTCCTCGCCTCCAGCGCTCCGCCATTGCCGCCACACCCGTTCCCCTACGCCACTGCACCCTTCTACCGATGCCGCCGTGCCTTCTCCCCCGCTGCCGACATGCCGCCGCGCAACCGCCCCTCCGGAATGTTTTATGCGGAGATCCACTCCGATGACATATGTCTCGGCCTCGGGATGTTCGCGACCGCCCACGTGGCTGCCCCCGCATACGATGCGGCGGCGTGGCGCCTCAACCGGCCACGGTCGTAGATGAATTTATCGGACGCTCGGACGCGCCAGGAGGCGCAGGACCTCGCGCCTCTGCCGCGGCTAATCACCGATGAGGACCGCCACATCCAGCGTAGGCGGGAGCGCTGCCTCCTCATTGCCGAGGTGGACGAGCACGCCATGGAGGAGTGGCGCCAGCGCTTCCGGAGGATGTCACCAGGGAGAACAACTTCTGGGTGCAGAGGAGGGCGCTATGAGCCGCAGAACGGGCGGACAGGGGCGCGCGGAAGGCAGTGGCAATAGCACAGTGCAAACTGGGACAGGCGTCGACCTTTGACGACAATGGTCCTTGGTGGGATGATGCCTTTATGTCATCGGACTACACCACCAAGGAGGAGGACGACAACGAGGAGTAGTTTCTAGAATATTTGCACCGTAGTATCATTTATCTACTTTTATTTGTATCATACTAGTTTGTGGTGTTGAGGTTGAACTATGCTATTTGAATTTTATGTGTTTGATTTCTTGGTTTTATGTGGTTATGTTGTTTGTGCTGGGCGCGAGCTCTGTATATTTACCGCACCTACTGGAGCGGCTCGTGTGCGTAATATTTTCCAGCGGACGCTGGAGACATAGCTCTGCTGCGTGCAAAAGTTGCTATTTCGATACTGTAAAAGTTATTTTAGTGTGTTGCATGTTGCGCGCATATTGGAGATGCTTAAAGGTATAGACTTGAACCAGACACCAGGTTAAGAGGGGAGCGATTGTGGTGGTTTCCGCGTCGGAGAACAAGGCACTTGTGCCGTTACCTATTGTAACTCGGATCGAGACGTAATCCAAGGATCGTCTTGATCATAACCTGGCAGAAATCCACACACGATCGCCGTCCTTAATACTGGATCGATCCCCCTCCTCACCCGATCGATCTGTTGGAGACTACGTCTACGTGCCAGCATGCCACGGAACGCCCCGGCCGCCGTCAGGGAAGCCTTCGCCCCCAGACGCTGCCCCAGCCTCCCGCCGGAGCTGCTGGACAACATCCACGACCGACTGGGGTTCCTCGACCGCATCGCCTTCGCCGCGGTCTTCGCAGCATCCTGCGGCGGATTCAAGCTATCCGTGCCGTGGCTCCTCCTCCCCGGCAAGACCACGGAGACCACCGAGCTCTTCTCCGTCGCCGACCGGCGTGATGCCACCGTGCGCGCCCCGGGCCCCGCGCTGCGCGGCCACTTCGTCGTCCTCGGCTCGTCCCGCGGGTGGCTCGCCACGGCTGACGAACTTGGTCAGATCTACCTCGTCAACCCCGCCACCGGCGAGCAGCACGCGCTCCCGCACATCGCCACCATGGGCATCTTCAACGACCGCAGGTGGCCCCACGACTCGTTCACCGTGCGTGTCCGGTGCTTTCTGACCATCCGGTATGGCCGCGGGCCGCCGTTCCCAGATACTTCCTTGGGGCGTGAGGGGTACGGGGGCTACTCGTTCGCCCCCAACTATATGTTCTACCGGAAGGTTGTCCTTTCTCCGTGCCGCCCCGGCAGCTACGGCACCGCCATGCTTATCCTCTGGGATGTTTTCGGCGCCCCGGCCTTCGCCACGGCGGACGACGGTGTCTGGAAGCTGGCGCGGTCGGAGGATGGAGTCGAGGACGCCATCCACCACGACGGCCAGTTTTACTCCGTCACCTACTCGGGTGTTGTCGAGGTGTGGCAGCGTGACGCGGAGTCTGGCGAGTACACAAGCACGGCTGTCACGCCAAGGCTGACCATCGAAGAAGGCAGCTCGCGCCGGCCTCTCAAGTACCTGGTGGCAGCACCCGGTGGGCGGCTGATGGTGGTGCTCAAGTACGGTCATGTGACCAAGAAGCGGTACGACCGGCAAGGGTGGACATGCTCGTTCAAGGTCCATGTGCTCGGCGACGACGGGCAGTGGAATGAGACAAGAGACATCGGCGACGTCGCGCTGTTCGTCGGGGTGAACAACTCGCTGTGCGTGCCGACGAGGGGACGCTCGGAGATCGAGGCCGGCTGCGTCTATTTCACTGACGACAGACTCAGGGCCGTGCGCAAGGAGTATTATTCGCTTTGGGATGATGACGATGTGGACGTTCGTGCTGTTGGGGTGTACAGCCTCAAGGACAGCACGCTGAAGAAGATGGAGGCGCTCGGGCAAGAGTATAACAGGTGCAGGTTCTCGCCGCCGCCGGTGTGGATCACACCTTCTATCCCATGATAGCAGAACGGTTGATCTGTTTTGAATTAACTAGGTTCAACGTTTTTGCTTAAGAACGCTAGCAGGTTCATCATTTTTAGCTGCTCAGTCATATGTTGGTTGCTGATTAAGATGAGTGAGAAGTAACCTGAGAAGTATGCTGATTAATATTTTTGCTTAAGATGGGTAGCAGTTTTTGAATGTAAACATAATAGTTTTGGGCAATGTGGCTAGCTTGCAATGATGTCATATTTATCAGCTAAGCATCGTCCAGCAATGGTATCCTATCATTCTGTTGCAGCACTGGAGAAAACTGTGGAAGGAGAAGCCTCAGGCTGAAACTGACATTGCTTCATGAAATCAACTAATGAGGCTGCTGCCTTTTCTTGTTCAATCTTTTAGGAGTTACAAGCTAGTGAGGATGTAAACCTCTTCTAACTCTAATACACTGTGTGCTATGCTAAGCTGGAGAGAACGGCTGTGAGGAGAAACTTCAGACTGATTTCGGTGGGGGCCTCATCAAGCTTCAGGAAAAATAAACGGGTGACGCTTCTGCTTTTATTTTGTTTTCCTTTCTCGGTGGTAATATGTTAGCATGTTATGTTGGAGAGCTGCCTTTATTTTTCTGATGAAAAGTGTTTTCTTCTCTGTTTCTGTATACCTGTTATGTAAAACCAGGAAACCACCAAAAATGCATATTTTTTGTAGTACAGGTACTGCTGAAAATGTCGTGTCAGCATCCCTGACATGGCGACCACACCAGCTCTGCAGTATGATTGGGGTCATTGTAAGGGATTTTGGGGGTTCCATCCATGTTCAGTTCCCTTCCATGGTGAGCATGCAGAATTACGGATCAAACTGTGGGTGCAAGTTGCTTTTCCCCAGCAGGATTGGGTCTTACTGAATTGTGAAGTTGGTGTACAACAATCTGCTATTATTGGGGCTCCTAACTCACATTCCCCTTCAAGACATCACAATGGATGATGCAAAATCGAGTTTTTGATGCTCTTTTGCCTAGTTTCTTCATCTTCTGTGTGCTGCTACATTTCTATGTACTACTTGTATTTGGACAATCACATTTCCTGTTTCAATGATTTAGTGCTAATTCGGCCTGTATGGTTTTGCCTAAATTGGATGGTTGCTTGCAAATAACATTGCACCCTTCGGACTGTGACACACCGGTTAATTTGTTTAGCTAGTCTTGTTTTTTAACTTTGATTGATTGGAAGTTCCTTGTCCATTGAGCATTGTTCCACAGATCCGCCTTTATAGTAGCGAACATGTTTTCCCTATTTTTCTGCCTAACATGGTAAACTGTCTTAAAACCCGCCTTGAGGCTTGATTTCTCACATTGAGGGAATTTTGGTACTCAAACTTCAGCTTGAATATTGCAGCATGATATGGGCGAATTATTAATATTGTGATTAAGCATTTCTCTGATGCTCACTAGCCTTGAATGAGTCATCCGCTCTATAGTGACACGATGGATCGTAGGGTGAGACTGAGAAGGGGGAGAAAAAGTGGGAGCGGGAAGAATGCGGCGGAGGGGATTGAGCATGCCGGCATCAGATTTTGGGAGAGGAAGCCCGTGAGTAGAAAGTCCAAAGGAATGGAGGGGGCAAATTGTATTTGACGCATTGAGCGTCCAAATGACGGCGTTTCGCACAAAGGAAGCAACACTAGCACTTGGGTGGCCTAGGACATTTTAGCTAGCATAGGAGCTACAGCAGTCAGGTTTTTGCGAACCATCCAGAAGGTTTTGTCTGGTTTTTTACTGTTCTGGTCTTTTTTTTTATTTTTTTTTTTTTATTTTTTCCGTTTTTTCTTTACTGGTTTTCTTTTGATCTTTTCTATTGTTTTGTGTTCTCCTTTTATTTTTTAAAAATGTTCAGAAATTTTCAAAATTGTTCAGAAATTTCAAAAAATGTTTGAGTTATTTTAAACATGTTAGAAAATACAAATTTTGTTGGATACTCCAAAATGATTGGAATTTTTAAAAAATGGATTTAATAATGTTTGAAATTTCACAGAAATGCGATGTACAAAAAAATTAATAACAAAACAAAATATATTCCTGGTTTTTACAATTTTAGATTTGTTTGCGTTTTTCGTAGAATGTTCAAAATTTTGGGAAATGTTTTTGATAGGAAATCACGATTTTAAAAATGTCGTCGTTTTTTGGAAATGTTCAGTTTTAAAAATTGTGCACACATTTTTTTAAATGTGTTAACCTTTTCAAAACAGGTGTTCTTAAATAAAATCATGTTTTTAGAAACCGACCAATTGCTATGAAAAAAATCTCTATGGTTTCGCTTGCTTTTTTGTTGAGGGGTTATGGTTTCCCTTGCTAAGTTGGCTATATTCGCTTAATGGGCCCTATTAATGCCTATCTGTCAAGGACTGGGGACATATATTACTATAACAAGAAGAATTGTTTAGACGATCCATATTGAACCGATGTGTGCAGTGATTTTAGCCTGAATATATGATCATTATACCTTCATGTATTTTTCTCCTAGGGGTTGTGACCGATGGTTTTCTTGGAGATATGTATTCCTATATTTCTTTCCTTCAATGTACGTAGTTGTGTACAACCTTTAGAATTTGGGTACTAAATTACTTAATGAATAATAGGACTGTAGATATTTTTTATTAATAAAATGGCATCTAAACACTTTGGTTTTGCTGATATGAGATCTCTCTGATCATGGTTTAATCACACCCTATCATATGTATAACGCAGCCCATGTTAGAAGTAACTTGTGTTCCAATTAATTGTCACTTTAGTGGTTCTTCGGCCACTGTTTTGTAATTTCTCCAAGTTGACTTACAGGGTGCAATTTTTCCAATGTCATATTATTTTCAGCTCATAACTTCTTATTGCTACATATTGTGACACTATAAATGCTCAAGTTGATACATATATTGTTCTGAAAAAGGCTGGATTATGTACCAATTTTGGATATGGGTAATAAAGGTAAGCAAAATATATCTTTACCCACATGCCATTAATTAAGAGTAGATGACAATAGGACATGTCAAGTGATTATGTGGTCTCATTATCATTGACTACAGAATGGTGCGACCATTCACCGGGTGTCTTCATTGCTTACTTCTCAAAGGTTCTGGATATGGCGCACCACCCATTATTTATACCTCGAACTTGAAACACTTTGTCCAGTAATTCAAGCTTGTTCTTTGAGAGTTTTGTGTCGTTAAATTTGTAGGCACTGACAGTAAGCTAGGAAGAGGAAGAAAGAGAGAGCTCAAGAGCAATAGCCATGGGAACATGGAGGAAAGCCCTCCTTGTTTAATTGCATCTCTAGTGTTGGAGGTGTAAATATTTGGCATGAAACTTTTCCTAATGCCTCCCATTCCTATCGTTCTTGTGCACTACTTCCTCTTCCTTTTGGCTTATATGCAATAGTTCTGATGGAGAAACCATAGACATGTGTCCACATATTTAGATAACATGAGACCTCCAAGGCGAGTCAGTAAGAGGAAGAATAGAGGAACTTAGAGTAGTGGGAATGGGAACATGGAGGAAAGCCTAACATTCTCGGTTTTCACCTCCAGTGTTGGAGGTGATAATTTAATTTGGTGTTTCCTGATGCCTCCCATTCCTATTGTTCTAAAGAACTCTTCACCTTGATTTTTTTGGCTTGCTTGGTTGCTTTAGCTTACTGTTTGCACATATTCGATGTGAAATCTCAAAAGTGATCTAGGAAGAGGAAGAAAGAGAGGGCCTAAGAGCTATGGGAATGAGGACATGGATGAAAACCTAACTTACTGGTTCTTTACCTCTTGTGTTGAGGTGGAAGTCGTGTTTGGTATTTCCCGACGCCTCTCATTCCTATCGTTCTTAAGCACCCCTTCCTCTTTCTTTTTGTTTGCAAAACCGTTTAGGTAAACTAAACATATATGTGGATGTGTTGTTTGTTTGCTAAATCATTTAGCAGAAAAACTAAACATATATGTGGATCTATTTAGATGATATGAGATGTCCATTATGAGACATCAAGAAGAAGTAAAGAGGGCCTAAGAGTAGTGTGCATGAGAACATGATGGAAAGCTAAAGCCCTCATTCAACATTTAACACTAGATGATGCTATGTTTTGAGTTCTTCTGATGTCTCCCATGCTTATTGTTCTTTGGTGATTCGTCCATTTTCTTTTGGAACACACAACATACAAAAGATTCATAGTATATATCATGATTTGGTTTAAGTTCGTGTAATCTACATAGTGGGAGGGATACTTTCCGTGTTTTTTTGGCATGCATTAATCCATGGTAAGATAAGATGGTGGATTGCTAACTAGTTTATACTTTACAATATAGTCTGGTAACTTATGTCTATAAGCAGAACCAAACACGTTTTAGCCCTAGATTACTCTGCACATGAGTCCATATCATGCCAAGAAAATTAATTATATATTAACTATCTTATATCTTATCTTATATTCACTAATTGGAGGCACCATTCAAGTCCTCTCATTAATCCACATCATCAAATTTAATTACACCGTTGGATTTTAGAATTTAAGCTCAGGATAAAAGGAAAACTTGCGTAACATAATTAGTCCATGTCCCACAAAAAAGGCATCTGACACACATACATCAGTGTTATACAAACGTAAAAAGAAAAGAATGGCTCCATCCATAAAAACTCCAACGAGAAAAGGTTTCCATCCATAAAAAACATGAAAAGAATGGAAATAAATCTACGACCAGAAAAAGGAGTCCTTAAAAGACTACATCACCACGTATAAAAAAAGAGTCCTTAACACGTTTCGTTTCCACAAAAAAAACACCCACTTCCAGGACACAAAACCACGTGCCTTCTCTCTTGAAAAAGAAAATGACTTTAAACAACACCACTTAATTAGTTGAGATTAATCACGCACGTATTAAAAAAAGAATCCACGTTCAAGATTTAAAACAACACGTGTCTTCTTCCATGAAGAAAAACAAAATAAAAATAGATCTAACCCACACATAAAAAAAGAGTCCTTTAAGACCCA